CTTCCCATGTTGTGTTTGGTTTGGCTTAATTCTTTCATATATTTTAAACTGGACAAGCTATTTGCTCACAGTGACTAACATTAGAGTGGCTCATTTATTGCACCTGTAGCATTTAGGTTAACACCTTACTTAAACACTCCGGTAACACTTTCTATGAATGTCACCTTTGTAAGCATCTATAAACATATTTATAACGTCATAATGCCTTCATACGGCATTATAAACATGATTATAAACATTTATAAAAATTAATTACACTGGATTACACTTTATAGCCATGTTTATTATACATTATGAATTGTTAATATAATGCATTATAAGTAGTGTTGATAACATGTTATAATGTCAGTGCCAAAGAAGTCAGTCCCAGCTTGGAGACTGCAAAGTAAAGACAAATACCAAGCTAACGGTGGTGTACATTGACTTTCCCACATTGGGTAAAACACTGATGGCAGCACTAGTTTAAACTCTGACATTTGAAGCCTGTAATGTGCTTTATTATGTATGTTTTAGTGTTTCAGTAAATTCTTAAGTAAATACTTCAACTTGAAGCCTCACTCTTAACACTGGAGGAGGCTTTAGTACAGTATGCTTCACTTAGAGAGGACAAATACAACTTATGAGCTCTTATAATTTGTTATGAACACTTATAATGTATTATGTTAACAATTCATAATGCATAATAAACATGGCTATAACGTGTAATGCATTTTTATAAATATTTATAGCCATGTTTATAATGCCTTATGAATGCATTATAACATGTTATGAATGTGTTTATAAATGCTTACAAAGGTGACATTCATAGAAAGTGTTACCAACACTCCTTCATAAAATTGACATAACTATGCCATACACGTTATAGCAGATGTCACATGCTGTCATCAGTTGTTATGACAGACTATGTTTATAATGTTTGATATCATGATGGCTAACTAGAGCATCCAGCAAAATAGGCATGTGACATAAACTGCATTGACATCAGATATTACAGCATCTGTCATGACAGTTACCAACAATGGAAACATGGCAGTTTTATATTACTGATCAAAATCTGTCATGACAACTCACGACTGTCACGACATTGTTTCATGCACAATTAAATTGAAGGCATGTCAACAGATCAGGTAGAACAGGCTTTTGACAATGAACTGAAAGTAAAAGTGCTTGCTTTCTTTACCATTATGGCAGCAATGCTTGCATTGCTAGCATTAGCAAAAGATGATACAAAGCACATGTGGTGGGCGAGGTCTCAGAGCATGAAGGGTACAAGAGACCAGGATACATAAGCATCAAACACAACCACAAGGAGACCACAAGTTAGGTTAACAGTGCACTTTTAATTTGTTATTTAAAAGTCTTAACTGAAGGCTTTAGAGATGGTGGACACAGGCTGTATGAGGCCGGATTAGGTCTCCAGTGTCTACTGAGCCAAATAAGTAGTCGTGTGTAGGATGACTAACTATAGTTCACCCTCAAAATATCCCATAACGGTCACATCTCCTGGTCTAATACACATAAATGCATCATCAAACCAAGAGTGGTGGTGGTGGGCATCGGGTTCTTTCCTCTGCAGACTTGGGGGTATTATTTTAAAACTTTAGTAAATCATTTTATGTTACCTCTGTAATGTTATGTTAGACTTAATATTGGGGTAAATTCTGATTTTTTTAGAGATTTTCATGTCAAATCTTTGTGTTTTTATAGTTAAAAAATTGAACCTATTCACTCATTTCTCCACTCGCTTACACTGCTGACACTTTTCTTGAGAAAGTAAACTGAAAGAAATAAACTGTGCTTATTCTAAATTCACTCTTGTATTATTAGATTTTCTAGTAAACATTGGCTGAATCAGCACACCAGGCTTTCTGATTAAAGCTGGAGTTACTCGCTTTGAATTTATTTAAAGATATCAGAACTTATTTTTACAAAACTGCAGTTCAGACATCTACTGAATGAAAGTTCTATGAAAATTCTGGGCCAATGCTAATAATGTGTATTTCTATACCAGTATGATACTGGTATTATTATTTTTTTTAATAATATTATTTGTATTTACATGTGAATACAAGGCATGTATCCTTGTCCTTCTGTCCAGAAAACTGTCATAAAAATTCTCCAAACCAATAGGGGATGAGGGGAAGATTTTAATGTCTTTTGTCTTGTGGTAACTTTCAAATAAGCTCTTCTTATACACTTGGGTGGGCTCTGAGTACTTAATAAACTGAATAAAACTGAGTACTTTTTTGTAGTTTCTTTTCATTTATTTATTAATAGATTATATATTTAGATTTAGATATTCTGATTTTTTATTATTTGGGTACAATTTATCGATCTAACTATATATATATATATATATATATATATATATATATATATATATATATATATATATATGTGTGTGTGTGTGTGTGTGTGTGTGTGTGTGTGTGTGCGTGTGTGTGTGTGTACTGCAATGTCTGAAGCCATTGTGTAAAATCATAATTCTGACCTTGTATTTTCTCAAAAATGACATGAAATTTGAATTAGTTACTATTTTTTATAAAAACTTATATAGGAAGATTCAAACAAATAGTGAATCTGTACACAGGAAACACTGAATTGTAAAATTAACCACCTCATCAATATTCTGTATATAACTCAGTAGGTTCACTGGCAATTTGTTGAACAAAAACTGCAGTAAACTGTAGCCATAATGTTTGCATGAGCTCATATTTCTCACTGACTCCTCAGATTGCAGTGATAATACTCCATTTGCATTTAACCACACTGATTCTTATTATAGACTCATCAGCATATTCTGTTTTCCACTGAGGAGCCACAGAAGTTGATCTGATGTGAACTCTCACCACTCAGAGTAACCTGGTAGACCAACCAGTGAACCAATAGTAGACGATTAAAAAAAAAATACACAGGAGTCACAAAATATTTTCTTGTAAATAAATATTTTAGTTTTTTACCCTCAATTGCAACAGGCTTTGCTATATGTACTGCACCTTGTCATATAAATCACTGTTCCTGTATTACATAGTTAAAGTGTTTATAAGTGTCCTGCCTTTAATTCTTTGGTACACTCATAGCAAAAGGGGTTCTACATACACTGTAAGCCCGGATAAGTTGAATTTATTAAAAAAAGAAAATGAGGAAACCGGTTGCTTTCATAGAATTAAGTAATGTGTAATGAAAACTTGAGTTAGAATAACTATCATTTTTGTGTTAGGCTAACATAAACACATTTGTGCAACTCATAAATTCTAATATTTTAACTTAACATCTTGAAACTGTAATTTAACAATATGTTTCATTAGCCAATGGAGAATTTTTTTTTTCTAATTAAGTGAGATTGACCACCAAACACCGGAGGGTTAACCTTTACTGTGAACATGGTCACTGACCAACACAAACACCCACTCATCAGCAAAGACAGCAGTAATCTCCACTGTTAGCCAACAACACAATGTAAGGCAGATGAGTAAAGCATATATAAAACACATACACCTGAGGAAAGGCAGCCTGGGTGGAATGAAAGCACACTGACGGTGAGTAAAACAAAGGGAAAGAAACACTCAATATGCAAATAGATGGAGCTGGAAGCCAATGGGAAACAAATATATGTTTTATCTAACAAGATCGTCTTAACAAAACAAACATGTAACTGTATTTTACAGCTTACTTAGCTTCACTCATTTTCACACATTTGTTCAGCAACTTTGGTGAGAAAGATTAAAACCAGCAGAAATGTCTTTTTTTTTTAATAGGGGGTTTCAAAGTTGCCATAGCAACAGACTAAACTAAATAGCAATAAGTTAATTCAACTCAAAAATGCCATTTGAGTGTACAAAATCATCAAAAACGTTTCCTTAACTTAAAATGGTTGAGCAATATGTGGGATATACTGAGTTTTATGTACAGCAGACTTAGTTTATTTGAGTTAAAACAAAATGAGAGATTACAGAGTAGTCCTAAAAAGGTTCCATAATAGCAGAGCTCTTTTGGTGATAAATGGAACCTTTTTTCTTAGTTTTATTATTACTGTGCCTTTAAGAGTGACCTACGTAAATTAACTCTTGATTGGCTCTGTCTTTTATCTTGTTCAGAAAGCAGTCTGGGCCAAAATGCTTCTTATAATTTTAAAGTGAGTGGGCAGGGCTAAACTGTTATAGGCTGTAAAGGAGAATGTATGCAAATGTGTTGTTTGTCATGACCACAAAAACAGGTAATTAAAAACATTCTTTCAGTTTAGTTTCCATATATGGACCATATGGACTGGAAAGAAAACAATTTGTTTTGAAATAAACATTTTGAAACTTTAACAAGTTTTATACTACACAAAAAAAACTTTAACAAGTTATATAATGCACAAAGAATTTGAACAATTTGTTCTTTTATTTGGCCACATCAGAAGGTTATTTGAAGAATCATACATGTTTTCACAACAGTTTCACTGAGTGAACCAGATAAATTTGATGGGTCTCCTGATAAGTGTCCTTTTTGTTACAATGCTCTGTGTATTTCAGTAATTCCCCTGCTAGTACTGATCAGGCTAAAATCAGGCCTTTATTGTATTGCGCCTTTCATTTCAAGCATTAGAGGGCTACTGCAGGGTGGTCTCATTTACAAGAGTTGTGAACAGTTTTTGAAAAACTTCGAACATCTTCACGATGGTCTTTCCAATGGAGAACTCTTGTTCAATCTCAAACAAGGTAATCGCTTGGTGGCTGAGGGGAGAGGCTTTGTCGGTTTTATGGAGGTCTGTGCATGTATTGTGGAGCAGCTGGTCACATTTGGCATGATTGTCAGACTCGTCCACACAGACCTCAGATGCCAACCCTGGGAAAAAAGAAGGAATTCTAATCTGAAAGAAGCAAATCTAATCTAATATGGTGAGTGTTCCCACAAAGGGGTTGGTTTCGAAGTCTGTACTCCTTCCTGTTGCCATTCACTACCGTCAAACTTCTCTTTGTGTTACACCCTTAATAGACTCCGGAGCCGAGGGGAACTGTTTTTCACACTGTCTCATAACTCCAGAACTTAGAATCTGTTCATCCACATGGAAAGGCCAGAAACCACTCATTCTTCACCAATCCCCTCCAAATACTCTGATCTTATAGAAGTTTTCAGAAAAAAGAATGCCACTTCTCCAGCTGCATCCAGATTCTTCTTCGTTAAGAAGAAGGATGGCGCTCTCAGACCCTGCATAGACTATCGTGCCCCTAATAATATCACCAAAAAATTGCTTATCTCCTACTGTTGTGTATTTTGAAGTAAGTATCTTTCCTCTCCCCTCTTGTTGTGGAACACCTGCTAACAAAAAGAAGAATCAGTAAAGAGTCAGATGAGCTGAATAACGCTACCTCCCTTGCCGGTCTCTTTTATTTATTGGTGTTGTGTGAAGACATTACACTCAAGCATACAAACACTACAGTGGCGACGAGGATTATTTTCCAAAGAACCTACATTGCCTGTGGACTTGTATTTTTGGCCAGACAGAGAGAGAGAGAGAGAGAGAGAAGCGCTGCAAACAATACAGTAAGTTGCCAAAGTCTGGTGGTAGTAATACGACAGCAAAATGGCAGGCTATATTGGAAAACTTGATGCCTTCGATAGTTCAACAGACAACTGTATGATGTATATTGAGAGGATGAACAATATTTTGAGGCAAATGATATAGCCGATGGAAAAAAGTGTCTATGTTGATCAGTGCAATGGGAGGAAAAGCTTACAGCTTGTTGAGAAACTTAACTGCACCGGACAAGCCTGCAGAACTCAGTTTCAGTAAAATTGTGGAGACCATGCAAAACCACTTGTGTCCAAAGCCCTTGCTAATCGTGGAATGTTTTCGGTTCCATAAACGTAATCAAAATGAGGGAGAGTCAATTTCAGCATAAGTGGCTGAACTAAAGAAACTGTCCGAACATTGTGAATTTGGTGACGGGCCTAGTGATGCACTAAGAGATCACTTAGTTTGTGGACTGTTGAATGAAAGCATCCAAAAAAGGCTCTTAACTGAGAATAAACTCACCTTCAAGAGAGCAGTGGAAATTGCTGTTTCAATGGAAGCAGCTGCTAGAGATGCTACAGAGCTACAGTCAGGAGCTTAAGTAAGTGTACACAAACTTTACTCAAAACGAAGTGCAGTAGGACCGAGCGAACTGTGTTATCGTTGTGGCAGAAAGAAAATGGTGACATTAGATACTGTGCTCACACATTATGACCCAGAGCTACCACTGAAACTAGCATGTGATGCCTCACCATATGGAATCGTTGCGGTCATGTCTCATGTCATGAGTGATGGTAGTGAACGCCCAATCGCCTTTGCATCCCAGTCACTTACAGCGACAGAGAAAAATTACACACAGATAGACTGTGAAGCACTGAGCCTTGTCTGGGGAGTCAAATGTTTCAATCAGTACCTCTTTGGCAAAGAGTTTACCCTTGTCACTATCACCAACCTCTTGTGTCTATTTTTAACCCACAGAAGGGCGTACCACTTACTGCTGCAGCACGAATGCAGAGGTGGGCATTGTTTTTAGGAGGACACAGGTATAAAATTGAGTTCAAAAGGACACATCATCATGCAAACGCAGACAGTCTGTCAAGTTTACCACTGTGAAATGACACATCTGGCATGGCCACACAAGAGGTCACTCCTTGTGATGTTTTCTCTTTCACAGATTGAGAATCTTCCTGTTACAGCAGAGATGATCAGAAATCACACCCGAAGAGATCCCACGCTGTCTCAGGTGTACGTGGCCACACTTAATGGCTGGACAGCACGACAGAAATCACATTTCGGTCAGTTCTATCAGCGTCACACAGCTGGCAATGCGCTGTACGGGTTGTCAACATGTTCAGAAGGCACCTAAGTCTGCCCCTTTGCATCCATGGGAATGGCCTGCACTCCCCTGGCAGAGAATCCACATTGATTTTGCTGGACCATTTATGGGACACAATTTTCTTGTGGTAGTGGATGCCCACTCGAAATGGCCTGAGGTGTTCACCATGTCTTCTACAAAAGCCAGCGACAGAATTGAAGTACTGCGAGAACTCTTTGCAAGAACTGGTGTTCCTGAAGATTTAGTGAGTGATAATGGTCCACAGTTTATAGCTGAAGAATTCCAGACATTCCTGAAAATGAACGGAATCCAACATTTGACTTCAGCACCATGTCATCCTGCCACTAATGGCTTGGCTGAACGAGTTTAAAAAATGCACTCAAAGCTGTGTCCAGTGAAAACATGACATTAAAGCAAAAACTTGCCAATTTTTTGTTTGCATATAGAAACACTGCCCATGCGACTACTAATGATTCACCTGCAATGTTCTTTTTTGGCCATCAACTGCGCTCTCGTCTTGACCTTCTGCGACCAAATCTCAGATGAACTGTGCAGGGGAAACAGCTGCATCAAGCTGCAAATGTGTGCAGAGAAGCTCATCACTTCTTAGTTGGCCAAACTGTCCTGGCAAGAGATTACAGAGGTAATCAAAAATGGATCTCTGGCACGATTGCAGCATGCACAGGACCACTCTCTTACACCGTTGAAGTTGCACCTGGAGTCCTACAGAGACAACACATTGATCAGCTGAGGATACAGATGCCCATCAGTAAAAAGTCATCTGAGGTGTTCATAGCGCCTCCTGCTGTTCCAGAGCTGTCTACTCCTGAGGAGTCACACACTCCAGCAACAGAGGTACCCACACCTGCTTCATCTCCAAAGCAGACTGATTGTGTTGCCAATGAAAGATGCTACCCTGTTAGGGATAGGAAGCCCCCAGAGCGCTTCAACCTAAAAACAACAAAAAAAAAAACAAACAATTTTTGCATAATGATGTTGTACATTGTGTCTTAGCAGGGAGGAGTGTTGTGTATTGTGTTGTAGTTCACTAAGACTCTTATTTTGAAGTAAGTATCTTTCCTCTCCCCTCTTGTTGTGGAACACCCGCTAACAAAAAGAATAATCAGTAAAGAGTCAGAAGAGCTGAATAACGCTACCTCCCTTGCTGGTCTCTTTTATTTATTACTGTTGTGTGAAGACGTTACACTCAAGCATACAAACACTACATCTACCTCTGATCCCTGTTGCATTACAACAGCATTGTGGTGGCCAGTTTTTCACTAAATTAGACCCTTACAGTGCGTGTAATCTAGTATGCATTAAAGAAGGGGATGACTGGAAGACAGCATTTATTACCACTAGAGGGCACTATGAGTACTCTGTAATGCCTTTCAGTTTAGTCAATGCCCCGTCAGTCTTTCAATCCTTTATAAACAACGTTCTCTGTGACATGATAGGGAAATTCGTCATAGCTTACATTGACGACATATCAATCTACTGCCTTCATTATGAGACACATTTGCAACAAGTATGTCAAGTCCTATGTCAATTACTTGATATTGACCTGTTTGTCAAAACAGAGAAAAGAGTTTCATCTCCACAGAGTCTACTTTCTTGGACATGTTATTAGAAGCCCTTGTCAATTGGCCTACACCTACATGCATCAAAGAGTTTCAAAGATTCTTAGGATTTGTCAACTTCTATAGATGCTTTATTTGTGATTTCAACTCTATAGCCACCCCTCTCACAGCCTTTCTCAAGGGAGCATCTAAAAAAGTTAACATGGGATCCCGCAGCAGAAACTACCTTTCAAAAACTCAAAACGGCTTTCATATCTGCATCCATTCTGAAGCATCCAGATCCATCTAAGCCTTTCGTGGTGGAGGGGGATGCTTCGGAAACTGGAGTAGGTGCAGTCCTATCACAGCGCAGTGGAGAACAAAACAATTTACACCTGATTGAGTTTTACTCACAAAAAAAATTCCAAGTGAGAGAAATTATGGTATAAGAGACCGAGAACTTGGAGACCGAGAACCTTGCAGTTAAACTTGCCCTAAAGGAATAGCGCCACTGGCTAGAAGGAGCTGCGCACCCTTTTTTTATTTAATATAAAGTGATATTGGTTTTACATAAGAAAATATTTTGTGACAAAGATTACTAAATGAAAATGCTGTTTGCATAAATATTTAACCCTGTGTGTTGTGGAAACTAGATAAAAGACCCCCTTAATTTAGGGCTCTAGCACTATTAGGTGTGTTTTTATTCCCCGTTTTTGTCAGTTCCTCTTTCAATTGTTCTAACTCTATATGTTGGTTTTTTTAGAAGACTTGTGGCTTCTCAAATATGTAATCACCTGAGTTGTAAATGCCCACAGAAGTTTGATATTTTTATGAAACTGGACATTTTGATCAAAATTTTATGCGCCTACTTATTTCTGAATGTATCAATTTAAAAAATCAATTCACAGCTTAAATGTCTATTAGAAATTTTTAGAATAAAGTGTCTATGAGTTGAGAATTTTGATGATTGTTCATTACATGGCTTATTACTGTGACACAATATATGCGTAGCATCAGGCGGACTTAATTTTCTTGATATTTTCACCTGTATGACACATGGAAATTGCTAAAACTGCATGTGACAGACTGACACAGCAGCCAAGCCTTTGAGTTTTTTTGTTCAGGGCCAATATGGCTAATATTCAAGCGAATAAAACACTGTTTTAGTACACTGGGTGTTTATTATCAGCTGCTTATAATAACAATTACTATAATAAAGAATCCTTCCAGAAATGATCAGATAAATATTGGTTTATTTAGAAAACACACAGTAAAGAACTATGTACCATAATATAAACCTGAAATCTATATCAGTCCAGCAGTGTTGGACGGACAGCAAAAGACTCTGAAGGTGTGTGCGCATCTCTTCAGTGCACTCAGCTGGATGCGCGTGCACATGTGAATGCGCCGCTGCGAGGACACAAGTGCACAAACAGAGCGAGGAAAGCGCTCTTCGGCAGAGCGCACTAACGAGATGCACACGCAGCTTCAGAGCTGGCTAAGGGGAGCGCACTGAAGAGGCATTTTCGGTGGATAATACTGACTCATCTAATCAAATATTTGATTTGAAACACGACGTAAATATTTTAGAAGCCCTAGAAGTAAATAATATTAGTGGAAATAAAACAAAATGCAGAGTTTATAAGCACAGAAACTGAGTTGTACTTGAAGAATAAAACAAACTTTGAAGGAGAGTATATTTTTACTGTTTTTCAACAATGGATTACTCACAGATGCTTCATCGGACCGCGATGGCACCGCTATTGAAACGGTAGGGATCGCTGTTTCTAAGGACACACGTAATAAACTGCTGCATTAAAGCATTCCTGAGTTATAAAGCTCAGAAGACAAGGTGTGATTTTCGACGCAAAACATGTCACGAGGGTCGATTGGTCAGCCTGTTAATCCAGAGGAAAACTTTGAAATTAAAAATGAAGACCACAGAGCATTCTAAGAAAATCAGAGATAAAATTATAGACATAAAAGAGATAAAACTCATGCACAAGTTGTGATACTTTATTTTCCAGCTGTTACATATACAGAGTTTTCCTCCAACAGTTCACTCTCTGACTCAGCTCACGTGTTGACTAATTATTATTCTAGTCTAGGGATCTTAAACTTTATACTCAATCAAAACCCCTAACCTAAGTGTGCGCAGGTGACGGGTTTATCAGTATGTACAAAGCTAAGGTGAATGTTTGTTAGTGGGGGAAAACAAGCTTAGCTCCACCACTCCAGGCCAGCCCAAGCACCATCCCTCAAGGATGAATAGCACAAGCCTAATGGTTCCATTCAGAAATTTAACAGTGGGAAGCTGGGACAAGTTTCCCACACCAAACCATGACCCAGCAGAGGAGGATGGCGGTCGGCTTTCACATTCAAGTTTGGCGCCACCACAATGTCTGTCATGCTGACTCTCTCTCTCTCCGATATATTTGCTTTAGGTGACACTATACATTATTATTATTATTATTATTATTATTATTATTATTATTATTATTATTATTATTTATTTCAAAATGGAGCTGAATATTCAATTTTGTCACTACTACAGTAGTAACTATTTCAGTAATGACAGTTCAGCTAATTTTGAGCAGAACTCAAAAACACTAGATAGTGCATGACTAACAAACACCGTAATACACACATAAAAATAATATTTTCCATTAAAATACAAAAGGTTCACTTCATTACAGAAAATGTGTTTTAGTAGTGACAGTTCCTCTTCTTCTAATTATTATTAATATTAACAATAAGAATAATATTAATATTATTATTAATAATAATGTGCTAAATATATAAAAAATTATCTACTGAATATGGCACAAACATAGTAAGGAATAAAGTGCTTTGTTTATATATTACAGCTCAAGGACACTGAGGGAGTGTCTAGCACAGTCATTTCCTTATTTTTATTATCAGAAAGAGAGGACAGAGAAAAGTAGAGAGAAAACCCTCAGCAGCAGTATCTGGACATTCAGGTAGGCTATACCTGTTTATAAATGCATAATTTCCTCAAATTACTTTATCTGTGTTTTTAAATCAGAAGCTTATTTAAGGACAATGATAGTCTGGTAACAGTCATAAATAATTTATTGTGCTGTAAAATGTTAAAATTTTGGGTAAATTTAAGCAAATTGTAAGAGGTATCTATTTATGTACAGTTTTATAAATTTCAAGGTACAATGTCAAAAGTATGGTGCATCATTTGTATTTTGTAATATTAGCTTAGTTTTCCCATGTCAGCATCTATGGAAAAGTATGAAGAGATTCATCACAGGTCTTGTCAGATTTTACTAGGTGGGTAATTCTCTTCAGTTCTATTCAATTAAATGATAATTATGTTTGTAGGACTATTTTAAGGCTAGCATAAAAACAGAAAATATAAAAAAAACACATAACAAGTATAAATGTAGACCAGTCTACATAGTCCATAGTTAAACACATTCAGTAGTCTGTGTAGTAATGCAAAATTAGGTTTCTGAGTTTGTGGGCACTGTTCAGCAGGTGAATTGCTTGTGATGTTAAGTGTCTGTCCTGCGAGCAGTCCTTGGGCAATAACATCAATGGCCTAAAGAAAAGCCACAGTAAAGCTCTGTGTGGGACATGGAATTAACCACAATGCTGCTTGCATTTTATAAGAATTTACTGGTCACAGTGGGAGGTAAGGTATTCTCTGTCTACAAGTGGGTTATTAAAAATATGCAGAAGCAGGTGTTTATGTCTCATCTCTTGTGTCCCATGTACTCTAAGTTCAGGGGTGGTGTTTTTCCTTTTTTGTTTTTAATGTTACTTTTAATGACTTGCTTATTAATTTATAAATAATAAGCTGCATTTTTAATTTATCCAGCCATTTACAGCTTGCATCTAATCCATAAAGTAATTTCAAGTCTGTTTTAAAATATGATCTGTTTGTGCTTAGCTGAGGTCCTGTACACTGAAAATGTTCTTGTCTTGTTAAAGATCTAAAATTTTCAGTTGGTAAGTAACTAATGGCTACATTTCCTGGAACACAAGCCTGCACCTGCTATTTGCATAGTCTGTTGAAGTGGAAATATGACTCTCTCAAACTAAATAAGAATGCTACTGTGCAGGTTTGGGTGTGACACACAAAGCCTTAGTACTCTGTGCTTGAAAGTCTGTAGCTGATAGACAACACTTCCAAGTCAAAGTGTTCCCTTAACCACTGTGCATTTTCAAATAATTTTGATTTAGATATCCTTATGTTGGTTGATTTAAATTCTAAACTCTTTTTTTGTAGTATTTTATGAAATAAAATCAGGGTAAACCAGTGCAAAGTAAGCATTATGACAGAGACCAGAGAACTCGCTTGCCCCACTTTCTGTAACACTTTTTTTTTTTCAAATAAATCACATAAGACTGGCTTTACTCTTAATATTTTATGGGGAGCTTACAGATATGATACTCATCATAAAAACCAACAGGACTTACTCTCTCTAACTATAAAGAGACCACAGCAGTTTAATCAAGGTAAAGCATCAGCAAATAAATTCCCTTATGTTAGGCTTTACATCTTAGGAATGCAACTTGCAGACATGATACACATATTAGAACATTCAGCAGGATTTTCTCCAGCTCTCTTTCTCTATCCTTAGTGATTTCTTTCAGACAAAGCACCAGCAAGTTGTTCCATTTGGCAAAAGGCCCAAAATCCACTTCTTATCTTAATATTAATATTAATCCTCAATGTACATCACATACTGCATCTGTTATGGTTCAGCACTTCTCATGTCTCAGAGCAAGTGTAGTGAATGATCAGAGCACTATTTTTCATCATAGGCTCTTAGAAAGAAAAGGAAGTATTTACATCTTAAACACACACCACCCACTATTGTCCATTTCTAGTTATAGGAAATTCTGGTAACACTTTCTATGAATGTCACCTTTGTAAGCATCTATAAACACATTTATAACATGTTATAATGCGTTCATAAGGCATTATAAACATGGTTATAAATAGTTATAAAAAATGACACTGAATTACACTTTATAGCCATGTTTATTATACATTATGAATTATGAGTTTATTGACGCCCTGAGATTTCCAGTATTTTATTCCTCAGTGCTGGTACTGTTAGGGCTGCATCTGCAGGGCTTCAGTCCTGAATATTCAGATGCTCCAAACAGGCTGTCCAGCATAGGATTATTGCTACAATGTGCTTTTCTTGACCAGCGCTCTCACTTTAAACACTAAATTACATCACAGCAAACCAAGTACCCATCAGCCCCTCCCCTGAACATCACACTGAGCGTGAAGTCACTGTGGAGTGAAGGCCTGGAGAGGGAGGGGCGAGACAGTAGAGTGCAGTCATTGTAATTTGTTCCCTCAGTGGTTCTAACGTCAAGCGCTAGAACCCTTCACTCTGTAACATCCCTGCACTACACTACAGTAATGCTAATCTCTGCTAGCATTCTATTGGATATGCAGTGTTAAGTTAGTGTCAAGCTAACGGTGGTGTACATTACCTTTCCCACATTGGGTAAAACACTGATGCAGCACTAGTTTAAACTCTGACGTTTGAAGCCTGTAATGTGCTTTATTGTGAATGTTTTAGTGTTTCAGTAAATCCTTCAGTAAATACTTCAACTTGAAGCCTCACTCTGAACACTGGAGGAGGCTTTAGTACAGTACGCTTCACTTTACTTAGAGCGGACAAATACAACTTATGAGCTCTTATAATTTGTTATGAACAGTACTTATAATATATTATGTTAACAATTCATAATGCATAATAAGCATGGCTATAACATGTAATATTCTTTTTATAAATATTTATAGCTATGTTTATAATGCTTTATGAATGCATTATTACATGTTATAAATGTGTTTATAGATGCTTACAAAGGTGACATTCATAGAAAGTTCTTTGTTTAATGCTGTTGTGATTTGTGCTGTCAGTAAGCACAAATCTATGTGCTGAACTGAGAGACATGCAGAGTAGAGAAGTTTGCATGTGAATGTGTGTATTTGCATTTGTTTTTGTCTAAAAGAGCAGGAGGAGGAAGGAGTGTTGGGTAACAGCAGATGTGTTCCAATACTGACTGGGGCCACTCCATTACAATAACTTGAGCTCAGACTGAAACTGAACAGATGAACTAAGAATAAAATTACAATGAATTACCTAATAATGCATAATATTTAGCTGTTTAATATTTCCATTTCAGTTGAAGTTTCATATATTATAAGGATTGTGAATATCCATGTCAATTTGAATAAAAAAAAAAAAATGACAATAGTAAATATATTAGGCCTGATCAAAAGGAAATATCAGTAAAAATTGAAAGATCCATGTGAAAAAAATTGATTTATTTAGAATTAGATGGGCTTACTGAGGGCTCTTTCCATATATAGTGGCATATTTGAAAAATGACATCAATTTATTTTCTGCCCATACCATAGAGTGAGAACGAAGGAACCCCATGGAGGATCCTCCAAACAGTAAGTCTGAAAATAATGGCATTCACGAAATACTACATTCAAGCAAACAAATAATTTCCTTTTTTACATTTTATTTATTTTTTTTTTCAAATTCACTTATAGTGCCCAATTACAGTTGACATTAATTAATGTAATTTCACAGCTTCAGGTCAAAAGTCAGCTGTAAGATGTGTTGTGTGTATGTAGTTTTGTTTAGATTGTATGCTTCACCATCAAATATAATCAAAATTTCTTTTACATTCCAGTGTTTGAGGGTCTGAGGATGGTGGTGTTGGGTAATGTCGGTGCTGGAAAAAGTTCAACAGGCAATGCAATATTAGGAAGAGAAGCTTTCAGAGAGACTGAAACCACAGAGTGTGAGATACAGAGAGGAAGAGTGGAGAACAGAAACATCTCAGTCATCGATACTCCAGCAATCAACACCACAACTCTCAGTACAGACCAGCTGAAGACTGAAATAGAAAGGTGTCTCTCACTGTCTTCTCCTGGTCCTCATGTGTTCCTGCTGGTGGTCACAGTAGAGAGATTCACAGAAGCTGAGAAGAACACTGTGAAGTGGATTCAGGAGAACTTTGGAGAAGAATCTCTGAAGTTCACCATGGTGCTCTTCACTGGAAAAGAAGAAATGACAAACAGACAAAGGATGAACTTTTCTCAGGATGCTAAGATGCTTGAACTGACTAGTAACTGTGGAGCTGGTTATTATGTGATGAACAGTAAGAAAGAGATGAATCCAGCTCAAATCACGAAGTTCCTGGAGAAGATTGAGACCATGGTCCAACAGAACGGGGCTCAGTATTACACTCATGCAATGTATGAGGCGGTCCAGAGAAAGAGAATGTTACAAGAAGAAGTGCAAAAGAAAAAAAGGGAGGAAAGAAAAAGAGAAGTACAAGAGAGCTACAATCAAAAATGGGAGCAACAAGGAGGACTGAAAGGAAAACAGGAGAGAGGCAAGGATGAGAGGAGACCAGTTATGGAGGAGACAAAAACAGAAGAGGAACTTAAACAGAGTACAGAAGAAATTCATACAGCGAGCACAAGAGACGATAAAGCTGAGAGCAAAGCAGAGCATCTAGAAAATGGAGGACGATTTTTAGATGATCCAGGTGGGTGAAGTACTGTCATGTTGATGCACATGAACTGGTAGGTACACATACACAAGATATGATAAGGTTGCCTTCAGTCTTTAATTTTTGAGGTTCTTCAGATGAAGTCGTTAGGTAATCACAAACAATCTACATGAGAAACTGGACTTTCACAAAAAGTAGAAGAAGTGTTAGTGTCTATTTTTTGATTATGTTAAGTCGTGATGCTAAGGGTATTCTTAATTGTGTTTCTAATCACAAGTATAAGATAGGGTGCTCATAAGTAGCTTAGACAGTGACAAAATGATGAGTAACAAAAGAAAAAGACAGCATACATGCTTATTTCGAAAAGGCTTTTTAATCCCATTGAAATGCAGGAAACATTGCTCTTAAAAGGCTGGAAATAACAGTTAATATTATCATTGATTATATGAATCTTTTTGAAATTTTAATCCAATGGGTGGAAAATACTGCAGTGAGTGTACTTACTTATTTTTTGGAAGAGTTGTAAAGTACTTTACTTGAGTACTATTGCAACTCTAATTACATTTCCAAGAGAAAAATGCATACTTTTTGTTCCTTGTATTTTTATTTAGACCTTTAAAGCACTCGAACATATCATGAGATATAACTTTTTTTCATTTGTTTTAAATTAAAAACTCCAGTCAAACTCATATCAGTGTGAAACTACCCACACCATGCTAATTTAGCTTTGTTCAAGGGCCAGCACTGTCTATTATTTACTGCACCAAAAAGGCCCTGTTAGAAGAAAGACAATTTGACTTACAAATTAGCCAGTCAAGCATGGAGGGGTATGATAATCCGTCAGTAGCACTTGCAGATAGAAGATAGACTCGCTAGTCTGTGTCATGCAGAGCATGATCACCTGTGAGAGGATTGAAGTGTTAAAATTAATCTAATATAAAGTAAAGCTTTTTAGCTATTAAAACACTGACTTTCTACTTTCACAGTGACCTCCTCAAAAATGGCTTATCTGGTAAACATTGGCCAGCTTGTTTTTTGTGACCCTGTTTTCAGCTTACTTTCTTTTTGGCTCTGGCCCTCAACCTCTCTCTTTATGTGTCTGTATTCTGATTACCATTTAGTCCTGGTTTTGACCTTAGCTTAGTTTCTAACTATGAGTTTGGATTTCCCTTTTTAATATTAAAGCCTCAATGCTTTGCTTTTATCACACGTGTCTGGTTACTTCTGTTCCGTTAGAATTTTTCTCAAATCTGTGTGTGCCACACTTGTTGGCATACCTAGAAATTCTTCTGAATGAAGTCTGATTGAAGTATATTCCCATTCATATTTTATGTTTGAAAGTTCACCTGGAAGACTTAAATGGTCAGCCATGACTTCCTGTTTCTATAACTATGAGGTGACATACAGGCCAAATTACCTCAGTCATCTATCACTCTATAAAAGACCAGAGAAAACAGCAATGATGTGCCACAGGGGGTTGTTGAGATGAACAAATCAGGAACTGGCTACAAGAGAATAGCTAAAGAGTTGAAAGTGCTTATTTCCACTGTTTGTGCAAAACTTAAGAAATTGATTAACTGGAGATGTTAAAAAGTCCAGCCAGGAAAATAATATACAGTGGATGCAGAGAGTGTTCAGACTCATTTACTTTTTGTACTTGTTCTTGTGTTTTAAATTTGATTTTAAACAACTATAATTGCCATTTTTGTCCATCAGTCTACATTTAATCATCCATAATGACTAAAACATAGTAATGTTTTTGAGTTTTGTTTTTTTTTTTAATTTAATTAAAAATCAAAAACTGAAATCTCTTATTAACAAATGTATTAAGATCGTTTAGTCAATATTTTGTACAAAACCCCTCTGGCAGCAATTACAGCTGCAAGTCCTCTTAGATATATCTACAGCTTTGCACACCTAGATTTGGACAGTTTATCCCAATTCTTCATTGTAGATCCTCTTGAGTTCCATTAGATTTAATAGCAAGCATCTTTGAACTGCCATCTTCAGGTCTCTCCACGTGTGATTGGGTTGAAGTCTGGGTTTTGGCCAGGCCACTCAAGGACATTCAGAGACTTGCCCTGAAGCAACTTCAGTGTTTCTTTGGTTGAAAGGTGAATTTTAGCCCTAATCTGAGTTTGTGTGCGCTCTGCAGGAGGTTTTCTCCAAGAATGTTCCTTGATTTGGCTGCACTCATCAATTCATCAATTCTTAGCAGTTTTCCTGTCCTTGCTGCTTAGAAGGACCCCCACAGCATGACGCCGCCACCACGTTTCACCATAGGAATGGTATTAGTCAGTTGATGTGCAGTGACTGTTTTTCACCAGACATTATGTTTGATGTTCTGCCCAAATAATTAAATTTTGTCTCATAAGACCATATAATCTTTTTCCTCATGATGTCAGAATTCTTTGCATACCATTTAGTAAACCAAGTCGGCTATCATATGCCTTTTATTCAGTAGTGCATCCCGCAGTGCCACTTGCTGTAAAGGCCTGGTTTAGGAAATGCAGCAGAGATCGTTGTTTATCTAAAAGGTTATCTCAACTCTGCACAGGACTTTTAGAGCTCTTTTAGAGTGACTATAGAATTTGGACTACTAGATTCCTCAATGACTAAGGCCTTTCCTGCTTGGTTAAAATAATAATAATAAAATAAAATAAGAAATTGAAGGTTATTCCAAGCTTCTTCCATTTCAAAATTATTGAGACCACTGTGGTCCTAGGAATAGGTAAAGCCTTTGATATTGTTTTAAATTTGACTCCCAATTGTTGAGTCACATTAATTAACACATTCATAAACTACTTAATAATATCTAAAACTATAGTTATCAGTGTTATTGTTAGTTATTGATTGAGATATTATTTAAGCATTTAGTAATTAAGCACAATAATAATTTTAAAGTTTAATTTATATAACACATTTTTAAATCAAAAGGATGCTTTACAATGACAAGAAAAGTACAAATCAACAACAAACAAACCACAATCACACACCGGTTAAAAAATGCAAAAACTTTTATTGTTTTGTTGTACAGATGCTTCTTTACGGATTGTGCTGGTGGGTAAAACTGGAGCAGGAAAGAGTGCAACAGGAAACACCATCCTGGGCAGAGAAGCCTTTTTGGCACTAATGTCACCTGAGTCTGTCAGCAGGAAGTGTGAGAGACATGAAGGAACAGTTGAGGGCAGGAAGATCTCAGTGATCGACACTCCAGGACTCTGTGATACATCACTGACTGGAGAAGCTCTGAAAGCTGAAATAGAGAGGTGTGTCTACATGTCACTTCCTGGTCCTCATGTGTTCCTGCTGGTGGTCAGACTGGATGTGAGATTCACTGAAGAGGAGAGAAACGCTGTAGAGTGGATTCAAAAGAACTTTGGAGAAGAAGCTTCAAAGCACACCGTCATACTGTTTACTCATGTAGACCAGATGAAGGTGTCCATAGAGCAGTATATGAATCGAAGTAATCACTTAGAATGTCTTGTACAGAAATGTGAGGACAGATACCATTCATTTAATAATGAAGACATGCAGAACCGCTCTCAGGTCTCAGAGCTGATTGAGAAGATAGATGCCTTATGTGGGACACATTACACTAATGAGATGTATGAAAGGGCTCAGGAGAATCTTAGAGAACAGGAGGAGAGAAGGAAAGAAGAGGAGGAGAGAAAGAAAAAGGAGGAGGAGGAAAAGATTCGGGAGGAAGAGAGAATTCAGTTTGAGAAAGAGAAACTGGAAATGGAGAAGCAGCATAGAAGATTACAGGAGGAAATGGAGGAGCAGCATAGAAGATTACAGGAGGAAATGGAGGAGCAGCATAGAATATTACAGGAGGAAATGGAGGAGCGTAGAAGATTACAGGAGAAAATGGAGGAGCAGCATAAAAGATTACAGGAGGAAATGGAGGAGCGTAGAAGATTACAGGAGGAAATGGAGGAGCATCATAGAAGATTACAGGAGGAAATGGAGGAGCGTAGAAGATTACAGGAGGAAATGGAGGAGCAGCATAGAAGATTACAGGAGGAAATGGAGGAGCGTAGAAGATTACAGGAGGAAATGGAGGAGCAGCATAGAAGATTACAGGAGGAAATGGAGGAGCGTAGAAGATTACAGGAGGAAATGGAGGAGCGTAGAAGATTACAGGAGGAAATGGAGGAGCAGCGTAGAAGATTACAGGAGGAAATGGAGGAGCGTAGAAGATTACAGGAGGAAATGGAGGAGCAGCGTAGAAGATTACAGGAGGAAATGGAGGAGCGTAGAAGATTACAGGAGGAAATGGAGGAGCAGCGTAGAAGATTACAGGAGGAATTGGAGGAGCAGCGTAGAAGATTACAGGAGGAAATGGAGGAGCGTAGAAGATCACAGGAGGAAATGGAGGAGCGTAGAAGATTACAGGAGGAAATGGAGGAGCAGCATAGCACATCACAGGAAGATTTAAATAGAAGGGAGACAGAAGTAAATAATGTCACAGAATCTGCTGTTTCAGGACCTGTCATAGGAGCAGGGGCAGGACTAGCTGTTGGAGGTGTTGCAGCAGGAGTAGGGGTAACAGTAGCAGCAGAAGTTGCTTTAGTGGTTGTTGCAGCACCTCTTGTACTTTTCCCTGTTGTAGGTGCAGGAATTGGTTGGCTCCTTACTAAGAAGAGCCAACCCAGAGAAGAGGATACACAGCCTTTATTAAATTCCAAGACAGAGCTGTCTGAAGCAACACCAGAGCCATCCCAAGACTAGCTCTGGACTTTACTAGTACCAGCATGATAAATTCAGACATTGTCCATTGTACTGAGCAGCGGTATTCAACTAAAACTAGCAATAGTCCATTTACATCAAATTCATAGCATAAATATTAAAATATATTTGGTAACACTTTCTATGAATGTCACCTTTGTAAGCATCTATAAACACATTTATAACATGTTATAATGTATTCATAAGGAATTATAAACATGGTTATAAATATTTATAAAAAAAGAATTACACTGAATTACAATTTATAGCCAGGTTTATTATACATTATGAATTGTTACAATAATGCATTATAAATAGTGTTAATAACATGTTATAATGTCAGTGCCAAAGAAGTCAGTCCCAGCTTGGAGAGCGTAAAGTAAAAAACAAATACCAAGCTAACGGTGGTGTACATTGACTTTCCCACATTGGGTAAAGCACTGATGGCAGCTCTAGTTTAAACTCTGACATTTGAAGCCTGTAATGTGCTTTACTGTGTATGTTTTAGTGTTTCAGTAAATCCTTCAGTAAATACTTCAACTTGAAGCCTCACTCTTAACACTGGAGGAGGCTTTAGTACAGTACGCTTCACTTTACTTAGAGCAGACAAATACAACTTATGAGCGCTTATAATTTGTTATGATCAGTACTTATAATGTATTATGTTAACAATTCATAATACATAATAAACATGGCTATAATGTGTAATGCATTTTTATAAATATTTATAGCTATGTTTATAATGTCTTATGCATGCATTATAACATGTTATGAATACGTTTATAGACGCTTACAAAGGTGACATTCATAGAAAGTGTTACCATATATTTTAATAAACTGTTTTATTTTGAATGTACTCTCATACTTTAATGAGCATTTAACATTGTGTGATAATTGGCGATTATAAAAATATCAGAAAACCTGTCTTTTCTTAAGGTAAAAATAAATAAATGGCATTAAAGTTTAAATTCAATTAAAACAAAAGATAATAAAGGCCTTTCGTAATGAGCAGTTCATGCTTTTTCACTGTCCAGGAATAAGCATTATGGTGGCTTTCATGTTGAACTTGAGTTTTTAAGTGGTCTAGATTTTGTCAATAGTTTATTTTGAAGTGATTTTTTAACGTCACACTTACATTTCCACTTTTGCTGAGCAACACCATGGTCTCTGAACAGATGAGACTCAGTTTTGAACTTGGAACAGGGAAAATTATTCAGAATCTTACTACACACAGGGCAAGGTCAGATACAAAACTAGAAAACAGCATTATTTTGTGTTTGTAATGCCTTTGTAATATATTTTATAGTTCTTGGTAAAAACTGAATTTTGAAAACAACAGAAAATGTGGCAAAAACTGAACCATGCCAAACATTTGTTTCTGCAAGAAGGCATCACTTTCTTAATTTTCTTTTTTTCTTTTCTTTTTTTTTTTTTAAACAAGTAAGCCTGCAAGTGATTCTCCATATCTGGTTGATATGTACTTCTGAAACATACATATTCATACTGTTACATATTTTAAACATTACTAGAAAATTACAGTAAAACCAAAAGGTATCTGTGATGTTTCTTTTAACACAAAAGACTGTGCCATTCATTGATTCATTCATTAATATATGGAAAGATCATGAGATTTTATGTTTAAGAAACTTTGTGTTGTTATGAATGAGAACACTTGTCTGTCTACGTTGATTTTTTCACAAGTGTTTGCATTTATTTGCATGTTTGCAAAAATAGAACATAGTTATTTTGTGTTTGCAATGGAATAAAGACTGCATTGTTTTTTATTGCTAAATGAAAAATTCTGAGTTGTTTTCTACATCTTATTAATCCCTAATTGCTACTTAAAGGGGCACTTACTGTAACTTTCAACCTGTCTCAAATAAGTTAATTTGTGTAATATTTAGTGGCAGTGCTGTTGAAACTGTTTTATTCCATAATTTAATTTGGTATTAACAAAAAACTTGAATTAAACTATTCTGTTATCATGAAACATATGGCTCATAAAAACAGGAGGAAATGGAGGAGCGTAGAAGATTACAGGAGGAAATGGAGGAGCAGCGTAGAAGATTCAGTCTAGTTCAGTCTAGTTCTTTAGGGTTTACCCAGGTTATGTACACATCACTTTGTCTTTAACCTACATTTAATAAAAATGATTTAAAGTTGTAGGTTACAGATTCTACTAACCTTATCCTAAACATAACTCTTTACAATATGTGATTTTTGGGTTTTTGGTACTCCTTTGTGGAAAGAATGTGTGGCAAAACATTTTGTAACATGAGTTGTGCTTCAGCCCCCTTCACCGAGCAGATGAATCTGATGACTGAAAGAGAATTCAAAGAGAACTGTCAGAACTTGGTGAAGGATGTGAGTGAATTATGTACCATTGTTATCATATCTTCATCAGTATAATGTTCATTTTGTATTTGAGACCTAAATATAAAGCCACACCTTCTTTTTCAGCCTGTGTGTGTGACATTATAAATCAACGGGGCACTTTTAAAATAAAGTGTGACTATTTTTTTTTTTTTGTTTTTGGAGGGGTTGATCATAAATTAGCATTTATTCATTAATAAAAACTATTATTATAAACTAAAAATGCTTTGCTATTAAAGTTCTTTGGCTCTCCCTATATCATAATTCAACTTGACAGTTGAATTATGATATAGGGAGAGCCAAAGAACTTTAAGAGCAAAGCATTTTTTATGACAACAACAAACTACTGAACATATTGTGGTGACCCCAAGGAGGAGGTGGGGCCAGGAAGTATTTGGAAAAGCCTCATATATTGGGTCATTTATGCTTACAGTGGATGACTAGAGAACCGAACAACAGTGAGTAGATTTCATGTGCATGGAAAAACTCATATCATATATGCAACTTGGTGAGAATTGTGTAAGTGATAAACAAAGACAGTTACTGATAACAGCTTTACACAGAACACTGGTGATATGAAAATAAACTAAAGAATCTACAATGCAGAAAGCCACAACACAGCTCCCCTCTCAGTCAACCCCATTTATGGCACATGGCTCTGCCCATTATATATTATTGTATGCGGGTACAAATATTGATGATTACCGCTATCCATTATGGTTAAGGGGCCAAGGATGTAGATTGCCACCTAAATGAAAGCATTTTATCTTGACAATGTAAGCATCACAGCATTGCACAAACAACTCCAGTCAACAACCTGCCCAGTCCATTAGAAAATATTTTTTTTTCTATTCATGAGTAAAAACAAATCCATTTTAAGAAAATTGTAAACATTTTTGTTTATTATTATGCCGTAAATATTGTCCATTCACCCTACAAAAATACTTCATGATGTGAGTTTAACTGATTTTATTCAACTAAAATATCTTGTATGAAACAATGTATAGGGAAAAATATTTTAGAGGAACAAAAGCTGTACTATCCATCAGATCAAACCTCAAAACCACTTAAGATCAAATTTACCCTCTTCTACTTTCCTACTTCTACTTTTTACACTGCAGCCTGACAGCAAAGTGGGAGTGGGAAAGCACACACACTTCCCCGAATTCGGAGAAAAAGAAAGTAAAACATTCATAGGTGTTTGTCAACATTCCAGTAGTCTTTCACTTCATTATATTAGTTGGTAATTTTGTGACATTCATTCCGTGACATTTAGCTAATAGTTTGAGCCATAAAGTAGTTGTTATTTAACAACAGCAAAAACCTAAGAACAGTCAAAAATGACTGCTATATTTCTGCCTTCTGTAACATATTTGGGGAGTTTTAGGGAGACGTAAAAGCAAATTATTTCCTGGTTTATACTCTTCAATAGTTCTCAAACACTATTTGCAGTATTGGTATTTTGTACTATCATTCCATGTCAGTATTTTCTGTTCTTAGTCTTTTCCATTTTTCTTTTAAATATAGCTAAGACCTCAATTAAAGCTAAACTCTGAGTGCTGGTGCTCACACACCAGCCAGTCTAGAAAAGAAGGAGAGGAAAAATGAAAAACATAGCAAGTCCTACAAATGAATAAAACAATTAAAGTACAATAAATAAAAAAAATAAAGAATGATAAACATCATACCCTGGTTTGACCCTGGAGCTCTGCCACACTTGCCAAACTTGCTAGGCTAGTTTTCCTAAAGACATGTCAAGTCTTGCTTTGTTTAACACCTGACATTATCCAGTTATATACTCTTATTTTAAAAAGTATTATGCATGTGACTATAACTACTAATACACAATTAAATGAGCTTATTTATATTCTCCATTGTGTGGTCTTATGTACACCATATAACACTTTATTAATGTATTTTAATGCTTTATGAAACAGAATTCATATAAAGTGTTACTGAAATTATTTTCTGTGTTATGTGGCACACATGAATGATACCAGGTATAAGCTGGTAAAATTGCTCTTAATCGGTTATACATGCATAAACCTTTAAAATAGCAAGAGTACCTGACTTTAGAAGGTCAGGTTTTATAATGAATTGTTATACAGTGCTGTGAAAAAGTATTCACATTCCTAATGTCTTCTATTTCTGCAAAGTTGTCACACCTGAATGTTTCAAACAATCAAACTACTTTTAATATCAAAGATAACCCAAATCAACGCAAACATTTGCCAGTAAGCTTAAGAACAATCTCTGTAACTCTCTTATAACAGCCGACCATGGTGTAGGAGTGGGTGCCATTTCTTTTGGCCCATGTTTTTCACCTGTTTTGGCCTAGTCAGGGAGTTAGGGAAGACTGTGTGTATTTTTTTGGTTCTTTATTTTCGAGTAGGTAAGGTTAGGTTCCCTATTCTGCCAGCCAGACCGGTTATGTTTGTTGTTTTGATGCATGCCCACTCTGACGTCTGTCCTGTGTTGGTTTGCAAAAGAAAAGAAAATAATATGAGTTGATCTGTTTAAATGCCGAATGGCTCTCTTTGGTTTTCTTTATGTTATGACTATTGCACAACGCACTGACAAGTCATAACAATATAATGTTAATACAGATTGACAGCAGGATAAAGTGTTCCAACTGCTCTGCTATGGTTGTTTTGTGAATTTGTATTAAGTGAATCTCATTAAATGCTGGTGTGTTTTACAACTTATTGTAAGGCTTCCTTTTGGTTTTT